GAAATATGTTTAAATATTTTTAAATGCCTTTTCCTTACAATTACGCATGACTATGTGTTTAAATTTTTCCATGTTTTTTTCGATTATTAATGTCCGTGGTATATATTTCCGTCCAGGGATTGAATTACGTGTTTCTTCCGTACCAAATCACGTAGTAATATGTGCCTTTCCGTGTACTGACTTTTTTTATAGGGTAGAACTTACTAAAATTCCAATAACCTTAATTGAACACTTATTATCTATATTTTCAGGATTTCGTGACACAGATGGAATATTATGTCTTGTTCCAAGTCTATCAGCTTTTCGCGCATCTCTGGGATACAATATTATTTATGGATTCATTTGCAATACTATAATTTATCATTGAATTTTTAGGACGCACTATGTGTTCTAATGTGATGGGATTTTTTTTTAGAGGGTTGCTCGAATATATCCAAATGTCATAGTTGGCACGATCGTTTCTTGATTTTTCAGAATTATATAACAATGATTAACATAAATTTGTTTTTTCTTTGTCCATCCCCCCATATAATAAAATTACTCACGTGTCCGTCCGACTTTTAATCAAGAACGTAACCAACAAACATAATATTATTAAATGGTTGTTACTCGACGTTTTAATTCGCTTCTAAATATGAGCCGTCAAAAGTAGAAACCAAGAAATTTGACCTTTTTTTAAAAATGAGTTTTTAGATTAATCATATAATTTTTAAAGCCAAATCTTTTTTTGAATAATAACGAAAATATAATCAATTAGTAAATTTTAAAGCTATAGTCGTTTAAAAACTTTTAATGGTAAAATCGGCGCCACACAATTGTTTATATTTCAGTATTTGTCGTTAATTATCACAGTAGATCTATTAGCCAATCAGTTGAAATAATAACAAACAGGTTTATAAACGGAATTGTTATTTTTAGGTTTGTTTTGTGTTTGTGTAACAAAATATGTTTTGCCAATTATCTCAAAACTTGTGATCATTTGACGGCCCATATGGTAAGGTTGAGTTTTATATAACTTGCTAAATAAAGGAGTACCCTAGCCATGAAGAAAATTTTCAAAGTTTGAGAGAAAATATTTCAATAATTATTTATCTAAAACCGATAAATCTTTTTTTACTTTAATTCTAGTAGCGGTCTTTATTTTGATAATCGGTTAAATTTTTTTTTGAACTTTGAGCGATGATATCTCGATAATTACTTAAAATCGATGAAATGTTTTTTTACTTTAATTCTATGGATTCATAGAATTAGGATAAATAAATTTTCCGAGTTTAAATAATCAACTATTGAGAAATCATCGCTCAAAGTTCAAAAAAAATCTAGCCGATTATCAAAACAGACCGCGGCTAAGTTTTCTAAACTTTAAGCGAAATAATTACTTATCTAAAATTGATAAAAATTTAATTCTGTTGATTCATAAAATTAAAATAAACCAATTTTATTTATTTTGGATAAGTAATTATGATACTTGGACGAAGATCGGTAATATGTATAACCGAGCACAGATTTTTATAATTATCACAATCATACTGATTACTCATGGGCTGAAATTCGTCTGATTGGCTAGTGTAAATCAATAGCCCGGGTAACTTATTTATACACTTTAAAGTACTTTTTGAGAACGTAAAATTACACAAGCAAAAAATTGGCATAAACATTATTTCTAGCTTCAAAAGAGTGCTAGAAAGTTAACTTTAAAATTAATCTTTTATAATCTTATATTCAGAGAAGTTACCTTAGACACGACTTTCTGAAAGAGGTAAAGAAAAATACTACGTTTGAATTTTAAATGTACAAAAACAAAAATAGTTACTAACAAAACAGTTGTTTTTTTTTTCTGAAGATTGAGATTTCAGGCTAAACGTTTGAAGCAAGACAAGCTTGTTTGTGTGAGAGATCTGGGGTTTATATTTAAGAAATTCTTAAGTTGGTTTGGTTCGTTAAAGCGTACTTGGGTTATTGATTATAAATATATGAATCTGGATTTATAGTTAGTAGATTTATTGATTCTGACTTTGTTTTAGTAGTGAACGCCTTTTTGCCTTACTCTATATTCGTCTATCTATCTTTTATATGTATATAATCGAACATAATCTATGTATTTATCGATTTATATAAATTTTTTTCTTTGAGGTTTTCGTTTCTAGTACCGTAATATTATAAATGACGAATTGCAAATTATGTGATCTGATTGGCTAATAATCACATGTAGATCTACAAATTGATTTATGAAACTAGCCAATTAGACGAATTTCAGCCCATGAGGCACACACGCTGCATAGATTACAAATGATGACGACATTAATTATGACGATCAAATTAAATCATTATGACCTCGGTGCTTACCTTAAATGACAGTTATCTCATATGATTATCATAATAATACTTAAATAAGCAAAACACGATAACCATAACACTTTCTAAAATAGGAAAAAATATAGCTCACCAAAAAGTTGAACGGAACCATCCCTCACATATTTCATATGATCGTACTGGTATTGAGTCACGCGTAAGAAAAAAAAAATAAATCAATAGCATTCAACAGACCAAAGAATAAATATAAATCTATTTC